AGTTAAGTCAAACAGAAAATGCTGAGCTTAAGAATGAAATTGCAAAATTAAAATGAGCTGTTAAGAATATTGAAAAGTAAAATTAAATAGTTACTAATAATTTAAAATCTTCAGAATATTCCATTTCATTACCTAACAAGAGTTGCTCAAATAGTGAAAATATGCAAATTAAAAATTCTTCAACTTATCATGAAGTGAATCAATCCATGACTAGCATTGACTTAGTAACTTTAAACACTTTAGAATAGGTAATTAACATAATTTCCAATACATATAACCTTAATGAAACTTGCTCTAGAAAATTTAAATCATTAGAAGATAAAGAAATTGATATCTTTTTAGATTTGGAAAATAAAAAAAGAGTTAGTAATAATATAAGGCAGAGGAATAAGAAAAAAAAGCTATTACATAATAATGAAGTTTCCATTTATCAAGATCTTTAGTTAATCAGAATACTTCAACAGAATCTGAAAAGATAATAACATTCTAAAAAGATCAATTAAAATTTTCTTTATTTTTATATTTTTATAAGACTTAATTAAAGAATTTTATTTTGTTTCTTTCTCAATCTTTATTAGTGTTATTATCTAATTCTTATTGCATGAGAGTTTCAGCATTTTTAACAATATATTTTTTATTTTCTTCATCTTATTACAAGTAATTAATAATTAAACCTTTTAATTAAAATTTTCTTTAGTCATGATTACTTATTATATAGTAAGTTTTTAAGCAAAAAAAAAAAAAAAAAAAAAATGCAAAATAACTATTAAAGATGAAAAAACTTTTTAAATCACAGTAAGAGTAGAATATTAATATTATATTATTAACAAGCTGAAATAAATAGTAAATTATTTGTATTAAATTTTTCTGTTCAGATACTTTTGTTTTGTAATAACACATAATTATTCTGCTTTCTTTTCTTAATATTTATTATTTTTGATAAATTTTATAAGTGATTTTTTCTTTATCTAAATATTCCTGGAGTGCTTGGATGTTATTGATTTTAAAAATATAAGCGATGATTTTTCTTCGTATAATTCTTGGATTTCATGATAGACTTAATGTAAATTAGTTTCATATACATTATTTTTATATAGAGATAATTTTTAGGTAGAAAGTTTACTCATTAATTTAAAACTGTAATTTACATAAATTCATAATGTTATTGCTAACTTTCAGCCACATAATAAAATGTTGGTTGCAGCATGTCCCAAATAAGATTTTTCTGAGTCATCGAAAATTTTAAGAATGACAATAGGAAGTTAAATAACCACGTCTATTTAGAATTTTATAAAATGAGCAGTAAGGCAATAGGTAATTAATCAGATAAAACTTGCACAACTTTTTTGTTCATGCCTTTTCTTTTGCTATAATTTGTATCATTAAGAAATCCCTCAAAAAACCCGCTCGACAAAGAAACCAGAGATTACCCAAAAAGAGAAAGTGTTAGAGGAGCCGAACCGCATTCGAGGTTTTCTGGCTGGTGTTGTGTCCGGAGTGACTAAACTATGTGTTGGTCACCCGTTTGGTACTTATCATTTCACGCTTGTGATATTTTATTATCATATTTTGACATTGCATTGGATAATTTGGCTTGTTTCTTGTTTTGTGCAGATACAATCAAAGTGCGTTTACAAACCTCTGGCATCGATGGACGGTTTCGTGGACCAATTCATTGCCTTACTAATACTATTCAAAAGGGAAATTTTTATTGATTTTTTTTTAATCCCACGTGATATTTTTGGCTAATGCTTTTGTTTCATTCAATCACCTAATAGGAAGGACTTCGTGCCTTATATAAAGGTAATTAATCAGCTGAATTTTTTTCCGATGAATAGGAAGATCTTTTTTTACGTGCAACATGTGCAAACCTCTATTAGGTGCAACTCCTCCTCTAGTGGGATGGGCTTTTATGGATAGCATAATGTAAGTATGAAAACTCATATTCTCCAAAGAATAATATTTTTTTATAATCTTGAATCATCATAGTTGTTGTTGTTTTTCCGCTTTATTATATGCGAAAGGTTGGGCTCCTTTCACAATTATCGTCTTCTCCTACAGAAAAATGATCCAACTGTTAAATTGACTGTACCTCAACAAGCGTTAGCTGGTCTTGGTAATAATTTCTTTGCAATTACTTTAGTAATCATCATCATTTCATAGTTATGTTCCTATCTATTA